ACTGAAGCAACTTCCCAGTGCTTTAATGGGTTAGAGTGCCAGCACCAAACACTGAGGGATCTTCCTTCTCCTAAGCTTCACGGGGAGGCTTAAATGGAGGCATGTTTGTTATGCCTTATTTATACAACATAGATCCCAGTCTTCAAGCTCTTGCTAGGCTGCCTTTAGGTGTTAAGAAGTTTCTCACTTACGATGTCCAAGCTTCTCTACTTTTCTCACTATCCTGTAAAACACTGGAGATTGGCCACAGCCATAAATGGGATATTTTTTTGGGGGGGAATAATTTTTTTAAAGATTTTTAGACTGGTTTATCTTGTTTATCAAACAGTTAAGCAATCACCAGTTTTGAGGTCAGACTGGCAAGGACCATGGAGTGGGTTTTACATTTCTCTGCAGCATGGGGTACATTCAACCTCCTGAGAATTTCACAGTTCAAATTTCTTCCTATTGCACGAATCAAAAGCATTGGCAATTCCTCTGGTATCACATGCTTTTGGGTTGGTTTTCTCCCCACTTGGCACCTTATAATGCATAGCTTTTGGTCCTCTATGTTACAAGCCTGTACTATTTTGTAACTGTGGCAGTATTTGGTCTCTGCGGAGTACCAGTGTTCCCCTGATTGCAGGGAGACTGGGCTTGATGACCTCAAGGGACCTGACAGCAATCTGCTCCACAAAACAGTGGCTACTCAGTTACACTCGAGATTTGGCTCTTATTCTGCTAGTGAAATCATTTGAGAACGTGGACCTGAAATAATAATTTGTGAATGCAGAAGACAATGGCACAGGCAGAAAATTTATGAGGCTGACCTCCTCCCTGCGCCAGCTTTCAAAGATCAGAAGCAGAGCAGAACCACGCTGACACGATCCTGGCTGTAGACCGTAATCCTCAAGCAGAGCTCAGAACAGAAGGGTTTGGTACCAGTGACCATATGTGGTTCCCCAAAGTCCCTACTACTAACCGAAATGAAGAAGAACTAGAATAGGGTAGAAAAGCTTGAGTGGCCATTGGCAATTAGTACGATACAAAGACCTTAGGTGTAACAGCTATAAATACTAAGTTGCACATAGTCTGTTCAAGGAGACAGATACTCTTCAGCATTCTGCAAAGGTTAGAGCTGGGCATGGATTTCTCCAGCCAAAGGGAAGAACAGATAATCAGCAAATTGAGTGATTAATTTGCCTCTTTCACAAGCCTCACACTAAGCTAGGTCTCCTCCTTTTGTCACGCTCTTTTGCAGTGATGTCACACTAAATAACAACGTGTCATGCGTAATTTAAGTCACTAGTTTGAAGTCAAGTTCTGTAACTTTTCAAAGAATATTTGTACCTTAAAAACAGAAATTAACTTACAGAATAAAACACTGAAAAAAGAGGGAAAGGAGTTTTCCTGACAACAACTGGCAATATTTAGCAGTGTCATCTGCAGAGACCTATTTTGCAGCCAATAAATACTGAATATTAAAGCAACCTGGGAACTTCAAAATCCTGCTGTTCCTGTCTTCCACTGCTGATGACAGCAGACAGCAAAACAGAGCTGCAAATAACTTGGAAGTATGCATCGCAACACTGACTCCTTTCATAGCCCCGTGTCGCCTCCAGCTCCCACTTGTTAATGCACTTACAGCAACCACGCTCTTCACAATGCTGTCACAGGCAACCACACTTCAATGAACCAGGTCTAAAAATACTTTAATAAAGCTAATTGACAAGATATTTATTAAATTATTTGCTCAGCTTCATATTTGAAACCTCGGATTGTAAATGGTAATCCTATTTACCAGCCCCAGAAGAGGTATCAAGACTTAAAGCCAAAACCATTACACCCTCTCACACCTCTTCAGCAGACCATGCTAGTAGGGATTTTCTCAGAATTAAATTGTCTGAAAATTCCCCCAGAAGAGGATGTCACATATAACGAGATGGTAAGTGCTGCCCTGCGGAGGTGCGCATGTGCGACGGAGACCCGTGCATCCCAGCCGCCCAGCACCATGCCCACCACACAGCCGCTGTGTGTGGTCAGAGCTCTGTCCCAAGTTCATTGAGATTTCTACTCAGACTCCCAATTCACAGCGCTTTGGAGCAGGCTAGGAACCCAGCCAAGGTCAGACTGAAAGCAAGACACCACCAAATCCTTCAGGTAAGTTGAGCCTGTCATGTTTACTGCTTTATATAATGCACAGTAGAGTTTTAAGTGCGCAAAGTGAGGTCCTACAATGAGATTGCAGACAGCAGTCCTCTCTCAACAATTTGTCCAGCGTAATGCAAAGACAGAAATATAGTGCTCACCAAAAGAGATAAGTGCAAAAGCACAAGCTTTACAAATGAAGACACTTCCAAAAACGATTACACTGGATACATCTCCTTAGGAGGAAGAACCCTGCTGCTACTGCCAAGAACTTTTCTACAAACTGCAACGTGAAGTCTTGGCTTTTCTTCAAATTCTTGCCCTTTTCATCATAGCCAACTTTCCTTGTTAGCGCTTCTTTGGTGTAGCGCTCAGAGCAACACTGGCAGACAAAAGCCTCTTGCACCAGCCCACCAGAAGTTACCGTGCCCAAGAGCCTATTTTCAAAGTGCCTCTCCTGCAGCTTCCACACAGGGGAAGGTTTATTTTCAAGGACCTGTCATCTAAAGCCTGTCATACGATTCCTTTAAATTTGCCAGATTGAAGAGTTCTGTAAACAGATGGATTAAGTGACATAGATTTTTAAAAATTTCAAATACTGCACTATAATTTACATACCTATTGCCATGGGAACACCTCAGCAAAACCCCTTATTTTCGAAGAAAACTAGCATTTCTGCACCAGGGGGTAAAGGTATTCAGCGTTTCTGAAAACGGAGCGCCAATTTTGGTGTCTAAACAGGGACTCTAATATATGGCCATAATGGTTTATGTGCAATTCTGCTCTGAAAAGCCATTTTATATAAAGATAGCACCTTTGCAAATAATCAGATATGTCCTTTGTGCAAATTCAAGGCAATATATCGCAGTGTTACTGTCTAAAATCCAGTTTCCTCCCCTCGAAACAGCAGACTATTTTACATTCTTATGTCTTGAATGGATCAGGTAAACTTCTGTAACCCCATCAGAGTACATGAGTGCATGGAGAGCACGAACAGAAGACACAAGGGCATAATTTGGTACATAAAATCAGTTTCAGAGGTGAAATATGAAAGAACCCAATTTAACAGGAACATCCTCGTGTGTAGTTGCAGGGCTGTCAGCATGAAACCAAAAGTAAAAACAAACCAAAGGCCCGCTGTATTCAGCGCTAAGCTGCTGTGTTCAGAACTGAAACCTCTAAGATTATACATATGACACCAAAGTGTTATTTTTACAAGTCAGGTTTCAGAATAGATCTACTGTATTGCTAGCTACCATATTCAGCGAATAAAAGATGCTGTAAAGTACTAAACTCCCAAGTTCAGGATCTAGAACATACACATGAATAAATTCATTAGTTTTAAATTTAAGTCCTTTACATTTTAGGCAGGATTACTTTTCAAAAATGATACTCTTTGTATGAAAATTTTAGCTGCATATTATATTTAGGTTTTGCAAAAAACATATTAAAAATTCCAGCTCCCTCAGAAATCAAGCCGTTTGCCAGCAGGATGTGTCAGGGTGCTGCCTGCACCAACAGGATCTGCAGCTGCCATTCCCCTTCCCTGGGGTTCGCCTGCTCATACTCAGAAGTAAATGTTTCTAAGACAGTACATTCTTACAAGTTGCATGAAAAAAGACCCCCAGAAGCCAGAGAGAAGAAACTCCTGTAGTGCATTTGCTAAGGAGGGTGCCATGGCAGGTCTGGCATTGTGCGATGGGCAGGATGCTCATCTCTGGAGTCGTGGCGCACACTGCCTCCAGCTTGGTGGGTATGAATATACGGGCGAGAGACAGCTGGGGTGAGTGTGACGGGAAAGGGAAATAAATTAGAAGGCAGGAAAAAATTTGCAGCTAACTGGGCTGCATATAGAATACATCTGAATCCTTCATCTGTGTTGTTACCATACAATAAAGCATGACATAAGCTGACGATTTAATCTTTGTGTCTGACCCAGCCTGGACACTGGAGTAGATGTAGCATTTAGTTTCCCTTTCTTGCTTTTATCTGTACTTGGCATAATGCTTTGCTTTTATTTTTCCCACTGTGCAAAAGGCTGAGTAATTCACAGATATACGCAGGACATGATCCAAACCTGTAGGTAAGTCGGTGGGGTCTGCATTAGCAATACAAACGCTACCACATGGAATTTGTATTTATTTATTCTTAAACCATGTATGAAAGTACTTAAACTCTTTATGAAATATGAAAGTATCATACATTCCTCTTTCCAAAATGTCTTGAATCTTAGCTGCTTTACAGTGAACAACGGGTTATGCTAGCTTCACTTTGAATACGTATGTCTGACTTTGCCCCTTCCTATTGTCTTTCTAAGTCCTCTTTGGTGGACTTGGCAGTTAACTGACAGTTAACAGTTGGACTCGATCATCTTAAAGGTCTTTTCTGACCTAAATGATTCTATGACTTCTATATAGGCAAAGTCCAGAAGCTGCATACCAACAACCACACAAATTGCAAAGTCAAGAGGAGGGAGGCTAAAATTGTGCAGGGTTGGAAAAAGGTGAAAATAACAAAAGAACCCACCCCCAAAACCACAAAAATAAAAAAAAAAACCACCCCCCAAACCAGCCAACCAACCAACCAAGAAAAAAATACCCAAAAAAGGGAAAGGATCAAGAAAGCAACTTGATAAATGAGGATAAATGAATTGCAAGTGAAAAAGGGACTTGAAGAATCCCGAGGACAGAAGAAAAGAGAGAGGAGGGGGATGAAAGGCAGCAGAACTCACTGTGTGCAAATGCCTGAAACTGAGACAATGATCCTCAACCCTGGAAACAAAAGCACCTCTCCCTCCCCAAGTACAGGCAGCCCAAGACCTTCACTGAGCAGCACAAGTACCCCCGGCAAATTGTCCTGTTTTGAAAACTCACCTTCATCCCAGCCGCGGCTGCTGGCCCGCTGGGGTCCACAGCCTGGATGTGGCAGGGCTTGCTCCCCCGCACCACAAAGCCCCAGCCCACTGCGTCGCCGACGATCTGGAAAGAGAAAAGAAGGATGTGATCGCCTTCGGGCAGCTCAGTGAAATTCAAGGGGGTAACATCTAAATGGTTCAAGGCATAATTTTAACACATAGTAAAGGACATTGTGTACAGGCTGTTACATCACTCATGGGAAAGGCTCCATCCAAATGATTTGTCTTGCTTTTAATGAATTTTTTTTGTTGCCCTAGGAAGCTGTAAAAAGCTATGCTTCCAATGACTAGGTTCAAAAATGTCTTTGCAGAAAGGCTTTCTCTAGCAGTGGATGTGAATCAAAGTTTCTGTCCCATTACAGTGTAGAAAGACCTAAGCAGAAAACTTCAGTTTGAGTAGGGAATCCGCTCCTGGAGTGCAAATATTACCAGGAGCACAAAGTCTAGATGAGTTTGTATAATACAAAAGTTATTGGCTTTATGTAATTTTACACTTCATTTAAGTCAGCAGTACTACATTGGCATAAAGACAGGCTAAACAAGCACAGAATGAGACCTGAAATGTGTGGCAGTACTGATAACGGAGTTTGGGATTTTAAAGTACAAACCTTAGCAAATGCAAATAAGCTCTAATTATCCCGTCAGGAAATGTCTGCTTGGATTACTTTATGCATACAACATGCAGAAAATAAAGAAAAATACTGAAGACATACCGTAAAAGTTTTTCTTACGTATGGGGCTCCAGGCATCAAGAGCTCATCAGCAGTCACAGGTCTCTTTAATACTGTGGACGTACATAAATGAATATTCAATATGAGCATTCCTCTAGAGTTTTTCCTAATAAATAAGATACAGTATTGGGATACAACATCTTTTTGGTCCCACTTCCCATACACTCTTTCAGTTCTTGCAGACTTGCTTGAAAGTAATAAATGAGCCAAGGAAAAGACAGCAGAATAACTCTGACTACAATGATGAGATCTTTGGAAAATCAGGGCATTTAGCCAACAGACTTTGTTGCCTGCAATCAAGATCCACTAAACACTATCACAAACATCAGAAGTGGCTGTTCCTGCGTTCAGTGTTGAAATGAGTGACCCACCTTCCTGGCATGGAGCAGCTTTTCCTCCCGGCTCGCTCTGTGCATGTTAGGTGCTCTCTGCTATTTCATCTGAGTTGGGTTTGAATCACAGAATTAAGTAATAACAAAATTCTGCTTGAGTCAGGAATTATCCCAACAAAAAGTTTTATGCAATAGTAGGCACAGACATCTAGCCCCATCTTAACCAGGGAGAGCCTAGGTAATCTACAGCTGGCTGGGATTTCACATGAAAGGAAATACCAGTGAGTTTCTGCAGGTGATTCCCCATTGCCTTGCTATGTAATGGGGTAATTTTCCCCTGAACAATGTAAAGTTCTGCCAAACCAAATGGATTCCATTCTGCATACCAGTTTTTATCTGTCTATAAATGCTTCACAAAGAAGGAGGACAATGGGAAGATATGTTGTTCACCATATTTACCTGCTTCACCTCTAAAATGATGTCTGCTTTTCTTTTAGTGATAAACAATTTTGATGATGTCTGCCTTTTCAGTCACAGGTGGAAGATAAAATTTCCCACAGATGGTATTTGAAGACATTCATGAGTTTCTTAATGACACTCATGGGAGCAGGGAGAATTCTACCATACAAACCAATATGTTTTTATCTTTCCCATGGATTTTGACAAACTGTCATTTAGCCAGCGTTACACTTTGCAGAACATGCCTGGTCAACGTAAAAAAACTGAATGATTACGCTCATTCGACAAGTCAGAATCAGGTAAATCATCCACGCAGGACTCCCTTGCGTGCCTCCATTATACCTCCAGAATTTTTATTTGTTTAATGATTGTTTTTCTACATGAAAAACAAGTTAAGTCATGACCTGGGGGGTTTTTTAAGTGTTTGCCTGCAAGGGAACTCATCTGACGATACACCTCTGCCTTGTGTTTATTAGCACGCAGTTCAGTGACATGCTCTGGTTCTGGATAGCAGGAAACTGTTTGTGAAAAAAATCACTTTATAGTCCAGCAGAGGATTAAGAATTCCTCCATAACATTTACATCTGAGCACCTTATGTTAACCTCTGCGAGATGACGTGTGGATCTGTACTTGCACTACAGGAGAAATTAGCCTACGTTGCCCGTAGTTGTATAATTCTTAAAAATAAGTCTGTTTATAAGTCCTTTGCTGTCTACTTTCAAATATGAGTCTGTTAAAGTTATTCAGAGTTTGAAAACTGGTCCTAAGGGATAATTTCTTTTAAAAAATTAAGAATTTATACAAGGGCAGCATCATAGAATCATAGAATCATAGAATGCTTTGGGTTGGAAAGGACCTTTAGAGGCCATCTAGCCCAACCCCCCTGCAGTGAGCAGGGACAGCTTTAACCAGATCAGGGTGCTCAGAGCCCCGTCCAACCTGACCTTGAATGTTGCCAGGGATGGGGCCTCTACCACCTCTCTGGGCAACCTGTTCCAGTGCTTGACCACCCTCATTGTAAAAAACTTCTTCCTTATATCCACTCTAAATCTATTCTTCTTGAGTTTAAATCTGTTATTCCTTGTCCTTTCACAACAGGCCTTATTAAAAAGATTCTCCCCATCTTTCCTGTAAGCCCCCTTTAAGTACTGAAAAGTCGCAATAAGGTCTCCTCTCAGCCTTCTCTTCTCCAGGCTGAACAACCCCAACTCTCTCAGCCTGGCCTTGTAGCATCACCCTTTTTCTTTCAGTGTTGTCTAATCAGCTGCATTAAAATAAACTTGTTCTCACTACTCATGGATCGACACTTCATATATAATCAGAACGAGAAAGGAATGGAATAGCCAGCATACTTCAGATAACACACACATTTATGGATAGTGTATGAATGCTGCTTTATCTATCCCAGAAAATTTTCCAGGATGTAATTAGTGACCTACTGGATCCAAAGAGCTCACCATACAAAATCTATCAGAGCGTTTCTGGGAAGTATACCTGAGAGATATTCTGCCAAAACATGATAATACGGCACTCTTCATATAGGGGCAAACACATTGCATATAGAGGTAAACACATTGGGAGGTGGGGCCGAACGCCCAACAGCAGCGTACTCCAAGGATGCAACGATCACCAGCACTGAGAGCGTTCCCCCAAGCTGGACAGCAGGTCTGGTGTAGGGGGTTATGGCTTCTGCAATCGTACTGAGCCCTTCAAATTATTTTAATTTAGAACTTCATACTGAATTCCCAGCAGAGCCTAAGGAGAGGGAAGAAAATGAGCTAAAAGGAGAAAGAAAGAAAATGTCCCCATAACCATGCCCTTCCTTCTGATGGCCACTCTGCACAGCAGGA